TCTCACTAACAGTGCCCAAGCCCCCCACCCAGGGCGGCCCGCCCGGAGGACGCCACCAGATGTGTTTGGGCTGCGGGGACAAACCTTGCCCGGGCCCCCTTCCTTCCCCCCCTAGGTCCCCTGGCACACCTACCTCCCAGCCAGCATGCACCCTCAGTCTCACATCCCCTCTAGCTTATTCCTGGATGTCACCCAACCGCTGGGCACAGGCGTCCTGCAGCAGTCAGCACTCTTTGGAAGCACCTGCTCCTGAATGACCTGCCTTCGTCCACCGTCTTCCCACCAGGGCAGGGACCCTAGGCCTGCTCTGCTGCGTCCCCAGTGGCACCCTCTCCACTGGAGCCGGCAGTCTTCCCCAGGACACCCAGCACCCCCTCTGCCTGGTGTAAACCATTCTGTCCAGACACCACGCATGTCACCTGTTTGTCGTCTGATCTGACCCTTCTCTATCTGGGGGTGCACAGCCATTCACCACCCAGGCCCCCTTCAGGAAGAACCTGCTGCCCAGATGCCAGGGTGCTGCCCGCAGCACCAGCCCGAGGAAGCTGGTGCCAACACCCACTGACCCCCAGCTGTCCAGGAGAGGCGCTGGACAACAGGGACAGGAGCACACAGAGAGGACTTCCATGTCCTACCAACTGGACAAGTGAGGGCCATGGCTGCACCCGGGCTCCTGAGAGGTGGGCCTGGTGAAGGATGGACAGACAGATGGACGAGGGCTGCACGGTATTCCTCTGAAAGGAAGAAGCCAGGCAGGGGCTGGGCTGCGAATCCCACAGGCAAGGACAGCGTGTTCCATGCACACCCCCGTGCTCCGTGCACACGCACCCCCATGCTCCGTGTACACCCCCATGCTCCGTGTACACCCCCGTGCTCCGTGCACACCACCGTGCTCCGTGCACACCCCCGTGCTCCGTGTACACCCCCATGTTCAATGCACACCCCCATGTTCCATGCACACCCCCATGTTCCATGCACACCCCCGTGCTCCATGCACACCCCACCACCACTAAGGATTGTCCTGTGCTCAGAGGTCAGGAGGAGATCGCAGCTCCTGACTCAGGGGAGAGGCTTGTGGGGTTTTATTGCTTTTGTACAAATTATGGCCACACGGAAGTGGCCCGAGGAGCGAGGTAATGAATGTCATAAACCTGCCTCGTAAAGACGAGCCTGCACTGCAATGCTGCGGCGTGGGGCAGGCTGGCGAGGCCCACATTGGTGGTGCAGGCAGATGGGGCTGCTGGGCCTGCGGCCTGGGCTGCTCCTGAGGTGGGCATGGGGGCAGGCGGGACACCTCCCAACCAGCGGGTCAGAGAGTGAAGCGTGTCCACCCCTCCACACACAGCACGCCTTGATCCACGGGCTGTGCCCCAAGTCTGAGGAGAGGCCGGGTCAGGACGGGTAAGGGGCCCGCCCAGTAGCCAGTCTGCTTCTCAGGGCTCACAAAGTGCTGACGCCCCGCCTTTGAACCTGGGCGGGTCTCGTGACAACCCCAGCTTGAAGCCGCGTCAGGCCCTGGGGCCTAGGCCACAACACCTACTGTTCCCTCCTGGCACTTGCTCTCAGGACGCTGGAACCCACCTCTGTACTGCGAGGAAGCCCAAGCAGCCCACAAAGGGACCCACGGAGAGGCCGTCAGAGAACTGAGGTCGCAACCACAAGCAGGTGTCCCACCCTGAGCTGGCCGCTCCTCACCTGCACTGCCCGTCCCCACTCCTGTGGACCCTCCCACCTCAGGGCGGAGCACTGGCAGCTCCGAGTCACCAGCGTGGCCCCAGAGGCCATGCCTGTCTCCCCGCCTTTTCTCCCTGTACTTATTTGCTTCATTAGGCCGTGAGCTCTGCGGGCAGGAACGCGAGCCCTTGGTCCTTCCCAGCACAGTGCCAGGCACAGAGCACACACTCGCCGAGTACTTGCTGAAGGGAGGCGGCAGTGAGAAACGCAGCTTTCTGTCACACCTCAATCTCCAGGCTGAGAGCCATACCTGACCGAGGGAAGGGGAGGAGGCCTAACAGTGAGGGGCTGGTGGGGCAGATGGGGTGTGGGGTGGGGCTAGGTGGAGGGAAAGCCAGGCTTCCTCCTGGTGGTGACAAGGGGTCTGAGGAGGAAGGTCCCGGGACAGGGGAGGGCCTCGGGACACCGGAGCACGTCCAGAGTGGGGCTGGCCTGCTCAGCACAGCGCCGAGCACGGGCCCCTCCTAGGGTGGGTGCCTCGGTGCCCTCACATTGAGGCTGTAGGGTCACGACTGGTCCAATGCCCACCTTGGAGTGTGGCTGTGAGGGCGGGAACAGCTAAGGTACCAGCTGAGAGCTGCCCGGGTCATCACAGGTCAGTCCCAGGAGAGCTGCTCAGATGTCACCACACCACCGTTTCACCGCATCAGGGCTGCTGCCCTGCCTCCACTCCATCCCTGTCCCCCACTGCCTCGGGGGTCACGGCCCCCTTTCAGAACACTCCGATGGCCTTGGGGTGGGGGTGGGGGTGAGAACTGGCCTCCCGCATGGCAGGCGGCTATATCCTCTTCTCTTTAATAAGGGAAACCCCCAAGCCCCCTGTGTCAGCGGGAGACGGATCGTCATGTCCTTGGTTACAAGCAGCCAAATTAAGAAAATTACTTTCTAACTGGTTTCATGGTGCTAATGAACGTCTGATGGCGAGCCAGGGAGGCCGCACCAAGCATCTGGGACACAGGCCGAGTGTCTGGGACAGAGGCTGGAGAGGACGGGCAAGTGACTAGGGATTTGCTGGGGCTCAATCTCAGCAACTTAAAGCCCTTTAAGTGCCGTCCATAAACCAGGTCAGATGGCACGTGCCCCTCTCCACCTAGTGTGGGGACGCTGTTGGGGAGAGGTGGGGGCAGCGCCACCGTGCTGGGCCTGGGCTCCCACACAGACAGGACAGGTGCCCTCTACCTGGGCACATGTGCACAGCCACACGTGATGCCACGTGGCCATGTGTCTCACACACAAACAACATGGTACACCTGCAGACCCTGTCACACACGTACAGATGCACCCATGCCACCCCAGACACTAACATGCAGATACAAGCATGTGGCACGCATGCACCCGCTCGCGCATACATGCACATTTGCTACACCCACAGACATATGCGGGCATGAGGCCCGACCCAGAGAGAAACATGTAACACCCCAGGTGCAGGCATCCACAGCTCTGCCAGGGCCACAGGGACACACACATGCGACCGACACTCAGCACACGCTCCCTTGCACAGACAGCCACACACGGCTGCACACAGGGCACACTCGCGTGTCCCAGGACGCCATGGTGAGGTCCTGATCTGCAGGCAGGGTCGTGGCCGCCCTCTGCCCACCCAGCTGACCGCTGCCTGCCACACACAGCCCTGTGGGGACCAGTGTGCTGAGCTCACTGTCCTCTCCGGTCCTCAGCTGGGACACCTACCTGCCCCCAGCCCTCAGGGAGGACGGCCTCCACCTGGCCTCTGATTCTGAGAGCACCAGGTTCCTGCCTGCAACCCCACACCAACTGGACAAGAAAGCCACCAGGGCCAGGCTGACTACCCTGTACCTGCAGTGCCCACCAGCTCACATCAGGGACCAGCGGACACACCTGCTCACACCAGGGCCCACTGCACTCGTTGGCACGCCCAGGGTCTCTGCACACATCGCTGGGGAACCCCCACGGCCTGAGCAGCAGGTGGGGCCACTTCCCTGCCACCATCTGTCACTCCTGAGCAGTGGGGGGTTAAACTGCAAACAGCTGGCACATTAATTACAGGTTCTTCTCCAGGAAACATCAAAGCCGCGTTTCAGGAAAAGACCACAAATGCCACACAGTGATTTGGAAGCAAAGGGGACACCAGTGGCTCTGGCAAGGAGGCTCGGAGCAGAGACCCCAGCTGCCCTGGGGCCTCAGACATGGCAGGAGGCTCCAAATGGGGCGTGCCTGGGCCCGGACCCTCCAGGACCCACACAGGCCCCCCACCCTGCCCACAGGTGGGCGCTCAGCCCCCCACTCCTGGCCACTGTCCCAGCTCTCCCCGACCCCGGCCTGCATCACACAGCGTCTTACCACCAGCCGCCTCCCACCCCGGGTCTGCCTGCACAGCTCCCACTGGAGCCCGGTCCTGGCCCGCCTCCTGGCCAGCGCCACTCAGCCAACACGGTCGGTTCCAGCAGTGGTCAGTGTGTCGGCACTGCCCAGGCCCACGGGAAGAAGCAGCAGCAAGGGCCGCCAACCATGACCGTGAGGACAGACAAACACGCCAGGCTGCTTGAGGAGGGCGGAGTCCTCCCCAGGAAGACACCGCTGAGCTGCCTGGGCAGCTGGGGTGGGGCAGGGCCACCAGGGAGATGAAGGGGTTAATCACACACCCTATGAAAAGCCTCAGTGATTTAGAACCAGGCCACCAGACCCGCCAGGCCCGCCAGGCCGGGGAACACTGGGAACCCTGGAACTCGCAATAAATCAGGGGCTTCAGGATGAGGCGGGCGGAGCCCGGGCCCCCGCCCTCCAAGAGCCTGCACAGCAGTAAATCTGCAGAAATGGCTTTTATGGAGCTCTGGGTTTTATGGTGTCATTAACGTTCCTCCTGATACTTAAGGGGAAATGAAATAAAGTCCTGAGGAGGGGGCAGAGCAGCTCCCCGGGGAGGGGCTGGGGGCAGGGAAGGTGGCCCCACACAGCCGGATGGGAGCTGGGGGCCAGGCCTTATGCCCGTGTCCAGCCTGAGTGCCAGGCCTCTCTGGCTGGCAGAGCTCAGGACTGAGTGGGTGGGGGGCTGAGGAGTCAGGGTGCTGGGGGCAGCTGCTCCAGGCCCAGGACCCCACTCCTAGCAGATGAAGGCGCAGGGCCTGCTATGAGGCCCCAGCCCCAGCCCTGTACCAACCCCCTCCCAGGCTACTGCTATCAGCCAGGACCACCCTGAGAGCTCCAGCCCCAAGGGCAGAGTTCAGGACGGAGGGGTTGAGGGCGGGACGAGCGCGGGAGCTGGACAGCGGGGAGGACGGGAGACTTACGGAGTAGCCTCTGCCTGAGACGGCCTGCGCCGAGCTCTGTGGGAAGGAAGAGAACAGTCAGTACCTGGGGTCTCAGCCCCTGACAGTCACCTGTCCTCTGAGGACCACCCCTGGGCACAGGCAGGCCCACAGACCACTCCCGGGGCCCTCAGCTGGAACTACGGGCTGGAGGTCAGGACTGAAGCCATAGAGGACACCGCCGGGGTCACAGCCCGACAGCCGTGGCTGTGCCTAAGGACCCATACTGAGACCTTACCCCCAGACCCAGGACATGGGGCCCAGCAACACCCCCACAGAGAGGCAGGTGAAGTCTCCACATGCCTCAGGAATAAGCTCAACTCTCAGCCAGCTCCTGGCACCCCTAGAGGGTCCAGTGCTCCGCACGTGGTTCTGCCCACACGTGGCCATGGGATGGAGGGCGCCAACATACCCACGGCGCTGGGCCCTGGCAGATCCCTGTCTGTGCCCGGGCCGGCCCGCCCCTTGCCACCCACCAGTCTCCCAGGGTCCCAGGGACAGGGGCTGGGGGGCGGGCCTTGGGGAGAAAAGGCTTTCAGGAAGAGCCGGACAAGTCATCTCGGGGGGGTCAGGGTGAGCTGTGGCCTGGGGGTCCTGGGAAGTCCCAGACAGGGCCCAACAGGCTCGATGGACCTCTCTTGGCCTCAGATGGGCATTTCAGATCCGAAGGAAGAAAGCAGCCGGTTAGGAGGTAGGTCTCACCGGTGCCTCGTGGATAGGGGTGCTTCACAAGACACCCACAGGGCTGGCGGTGGTCACGAGGGCTGACCCTCAAGGCACAGGCTGGAGGGATGGGGTGCAGGAGAGGACCCAGAGACAGATGATGACAGACAGGACATGGTGACAGGGGGCATGGGGGACCATACTCAAGTCATGGAGGGCAGGCCTATCTGAGGGGTGTGGGGCCCACAGACCAGGGTCCAGAGCACACTGGCCATGGGAACTGTGGGCCAGATGCGAAGATTCTTCCGGATAGTGGGTGACCACAGAGGGGGTCGGGGCCCCTCCCATTGCAGTCTGGGACCCTCCCTTCTGCACAGGGCACCCCTGTCCAGGCCAGGCAGACCCTTGCCAGGTCCCCAGTCAGCTCTTGGGGGTCCCTGTGGGGCAGAGCTCCCCCTGGTGGGGCCCCCATCCCGGGAGGCCCTGGATGAGGTGGATGGGAGTCCTGGCTGCCCGAGCTTGCATCCTTCACGCCCGGCCTCGTGCTGCCCTCAGAACCCTCTGCGTTCACACCGCCAGCAATTAGAGGACTTCGAACTAGGGCGCCCCGCGGCCCCAGACAATTACCAGCCTATTTTCCCATCTTAAGGCAACAGGATCGAGCCGGGCAATTAGGCCTCCTCCTCCCGGTCTCCCGCCTGCCGCTCCCCCAGGCCCCCATTTAAATGATAATGAGGACAACTCATTCAATTCCGTCTCCACCAGGCAGCCACTTCTGCAGCTCCGGGTCAAGAAACAAAGGCCTCTTCTGGGGGCCCCCTCCTCCAGCGGGACCCTTCTGCCTAGGTTTCCCTCCCGGGCCCCCTCCTCCAGGAACTCCCTACCCCTAGGGTCCCTCTCCCCACTTCTAGCCCTTCCTGCGCCTGCTCCATCCCCCCTCCTCCAAGCTCTGGGTCCTGAAACTCCGTGGTGAGGAGTACCCCCTCACACCCTCACCCCCCACCCCCGATTGCTGGCCAAATGCCAAATTCCAGGTCATCCTCACACGGGCTCCAAGACCCCTCCTGCTTCCAAGGACCTGAGCTCAGGGACCTGTCTTCTGAGACACTGAAGGTGTGTCCACAGACTCAGGCTACCTGGGCATCCAGGCTGAGGCCAGCAGACACCCCCCCCCCCCCCCCCGAGCCAACACGCCGGTCCACCAGGGTAGGTGGGAGTGCTTCCGGCACGTTCCCTGCAGTCCCAGGCCCGCTCCAAAGGCCAGTCTGCTCCCAGGGCAGTCCTGCCTCCCAGTCCACATCCCGGCCCCAGGGAGCATCCAGTGTGTGCCTGCCCCCAGCCGGACAGAGGGCCTCAGCCCCACCACAGCCGCCGAGACGGGTTCCTGTCACAACCTAACCCTTGGTCCCCATCTAAATGGGGTCCTGATTAGTGGGAAAAAATCGTGTTTAATGAGAGCCCATGCTAACTGCAAACACAGAGCCCCACCCGGACTGGGCCCCTGAGCGAGCAAGCGAGCGAGCGAGCGGCTGGCTGTGTCTGTGGCAGGTCGGGGGGTGGGGGCGAGAGCGCCAGGGGTACTCACGTCACTGAGCTGGTCCCGGGAGCTGCTCCGCCGGGAGCTGGTGGCTTCGCGGAAGCTGTCGTCCTCGCTGTTGCGGTCGCCCCCTATGGACACTGCAACCTTCATCTGGGGACAGGGAGAGGCGGGCTCAGCAAGCACAGACCTGACCTTTCCACACCGCTAGCCGCTGTGGGATGCGAGGGGCACAGCCAGGGTCAGGCCCCCAGCCCCACCCGACCAGGGCTGAACGGGGGAGAGGCAGAGAGGCAGGGGGCGGAGCACTGCCGCTGCCGAGCCATTCACGGCCCAGACAGGGGGTGCACAGGAGAGCAGCTCACGCACTAGGACAGGAAACTGCTGCTAGCTCTGTCCTTTCCTCCAGCCACCGGGTGACTTTTTGGGCTCCCCAATGGGCCGCCCGCCCCATCTGCTACACCGAGCCAGTTGATGGTCCCCAGGCCTCCAGGACAGGCCAGTGGCAACGCCTCCCCCCTCCCTGCAGGCGCATACTCCCAGGCTCCCATCAGTCCTCCCCACAATCCCAGGGCGGGCAGTCAGGGCTGCCAGGGCTGCCAGGGCTGCAGGGCTAGGCGTGGACTGCCACCATGCTGTGTGACCTGGAGCCATCACTCAACCTCTCTGTGCCTCAGTTCTGTCATCTGCAGTCCCCCACAGGGCCAGCGTTTCTTAGGCCTGGCTACACTGTGGCCAGCTGGCAGCTCTTGGCTCCTCGCACAGAAGCCCCACTACACACTCTGTGCCCACCTCACAGAGGAGGGAAAGAGGTCACGGAGGTTAAGTGTCAATGTGGGACCCAGAATTCTATTCATGTTTCTCTTTTTACTTGGAAATAACTTCTCAACTCACAAAGCTGCAGAGATGTGACGCACATCACGGCCCCCGACCCTGACTCTCCCACATCCAGGGAGTCACCACCACCCCTGAACCACGCTGGCCTCGGGTCCAGTCCCACCGCCCTCCTGGCATCCCCCGTTCCCAGCTTTGTCTCCTACCACAGTGACGTCTGGGCACACAGATGTCCACCCCTCCCTGTCAGTCTCAGGTTGGAACAGACCAGCACACCGCCTGACGCCCGGTGACCCCCTTCCACATGCTGCCAACGTCCCTGAAGAACAGCAGGGGGACCCTGCAGGATGTGGAAGGGCCTCTCCTCTCCATCCTCCAGGCCTCCCAACCTAGCGCCCACGTTCTTATAGCCCAGAGGGCTCAGAGCCTGCCCCGGTCCCCCATGTCCAGCCACTGTGTCACGAGCACCCTCCAGAACTAGACACCCTGAGTGGGGTCAAAGGTCGGGATGGGTTGGCAAGGTCACTGGTTATGCTCCAGGATACGGGATCCTGAGTCCCTGGGAAACCCCTCATGGCTTGAGCCCCTCCTGCAGACCCCACGTCATGCTCAGCCAGAAGCCTTTCACAGCCCCTGCACCCGAGGGTCACCCCAGATCACGATATGAGAGTGCAGGCCCCAAAAGCCACTGGGCCCTGTACTTTGTGGCCAGCAGAGTGTAAATGACAAGACAGTACCAGCATCAACCCACAGCCCAGGGGCCTGTCTGCAAAGGCCCACGTAAGAACAAGGCCCAGGCGGGCCGATTGTGTTGGTTAGGACTTGGCTTGGGACGCCAGCTCTGAGCAGCAGGAGGGTCGGATCCCACATATGAGGGCCAGTGACACTGCCCCCTACAGCTAAGATGCTGAACAACAGCTCAACCTGGAGCTGGGCTGCAGTGAGCCGCCGGCATGGGCGTGGGCTGCAGCCCGTTGCAGTGGGGCTGCTGTGAGCTACTGTGAGCGGCTGGCAGCAGGCATGAGCTTCCTTGAGCCGCCGTGAGCAGCCACCAATGGCCAGCAAGCAACTGCCTCATCCAGGGAGAGCACAATGATAATACCAACATGGGCCAGTGAAGCGACGTCCTCCACAACTAGACTGAAGAACAAAAGGACAGCAACTTGTCTGTTCCCCTTCCCCGATTCCCCAACGCTGTTCCCCTCGCCCAATTCCCCAACAAAATTTTCAAAAAAAATAAAAAAGAACAAGGCCTCCCTCGCAGCCCCAGTCCGGACATGCTAGGAACGCTGGTCATCTAATTTCTGTCTCTAAGCCAGGACCCATACAATACAGCCCAAGCTGGAGTCTGGCTGTCCTGTGGCTCTACCTGCTTCCTAGCTGCTCAGAGTGCTGGGGCCAGAATATGCCAGAAGGCAGGGAAGCCTCGCCTGTTTCCAGTTGGAACAGGAGACAGATCAGAGTCCCTTCAAGTCCATGTCCACAGCCAGAGGCTGCCCTGGTTGCACTGAAGGGAACCATTGTGCCTGTTCACTGACCCACCCACCCACCCATCCATCCACCATCCATCCCCCATCCTCCATCCACCCACCATCCATCCTCCATCCACCCACCATCCATCCATCATCCATCCCCCATCCTCCATCCACCCATCCATCCTCCATCCATCGATCCATCCATCCATCCACCATCCATCCATCCATCCATCCTCCCCCATCCTCCATCCATCCATTCACTGCTCTCCCACCCTCCCATTTCTAACTGAGCGCCCATGAGCTTGCTCTGTTCTGGGCAGTGAAGAAAACAGACACAAGTCCCTGCGCCCCCAAAACCTACAAAAAAGAGGCCATCATGCAGTGAGCAGACAGCACAGGTGCTAAGGAGGGACCATGGCAGAGAAGAGGGACAGGTTCGCCAGGAAGGGCTTCACTGAGAAGCTGACACTTCTGGAAAGCCAGGGGGTCGGTCACGAGGCTACCCGGAAGACCATTGTGCGTGGCGTGGTGGGCTTGCGGGGACGGAGGGCCTGCATGTTCTGCGGTAGAAACACATCGTGCTGACTTCAGGCACCAGGTTTAGCAACCTGCTTGTAAATTTCCTGAACACACAGCCCTCTGCTCTTGCAAGGAGGCACACCACGAGAGCGTGCCCTGAACTGGCAAGCCACTCCGCCTTCAGACTCGGGGATATGTGGAGACATGGCACTGCCTGACTTGGCAGGGTCAGCTCATGGCCTTCAAAGGGTGGAGAGGGGACGCTTCCCTTAGACGGGCATGGTTAGGGCACTGCCGTCAGACCAGCGGGCATAGGGATGTCACCTCAGATTGGGGCGTCCCGGGAGCACCTGGGGTCCTGAGCCTTCCAGTGGCCTGCCACCCATGGCCCTTCCCCGGCTCTGAACATCCCAGGGAGAAGTGTCTGCCTCCTGGGCCGTCAGGCAACATGTGTTTCCACTCTGTGGTCAGACCCACGGGGCAGGGGAGCCATCCAGAGGCCACTGTTCAGAAGGGGTCCAGGAAGCAGGTCCCAGCGGTGCCCCCAGGCTGTGCATGGGGTCTTCCCCCTGTGGGATCGGGAAACACTGGGACAGGGCAAACAAAGAGTCACCAGCACCCCTCACTCCCGGAAGCAAGCAAACTCACTGAGACCCCAGACCCACACCGAGACCCCCACAGACAAGCACTCACAAGGACACACACGGACGTGAAGGTGCATGGAAAGCCACGGCACGCACCCTACCCGCCCTGTGGGCCCCCTCACCCACGCTGCAGCCTGGCCTTTTCTGCCCACATCCAGACACACTGCCCAGCAGCCCCTGCCATCTGCCCTAACACTCTGCATACCCACCACCCTGCCAAGGCCCCCACCTGCCTGCACACGGGGTTCCTGCTACCCTTAGGACCCCATACCCCGTGCAGACAGGGCAGAGGCAATTTCCCTCAGCACACTCAACCGTCACGCCTGCAAACTGTCTCTCTCAGCAAAAGCACGTGCCACCCACAGTGACATGGGATCTGGCAGCCCTGGAGCTGTGCAGTGCACGGCCTGTACAGTCGTACCTGGCAGCCCCGGTGAGTCACACTCACGTCTCATCAGGTTTCACCCTCAGATAAGTGCCATAACACGGAGCCCTCTGGAGCACACGTGAGCTCAGACAGGGCCGCTGTGTGCACGCGCGCACTCCTTGAGCACACACACTCGTGGGGGCTCTGGGCTCTGCCACATGTCTCTCCCCTGCAAGCGCCCTGCCCAGCCCAGGGGTGGGGGCGGCCTGGGAATCCTGAGAAGGGGGATGAGAGCATCCACAGACTCCCTCGGACCAGTCGGGGGACAGGCCTGGGAGGTGGGACTGAGGTAAGCACCCACGAAGCACCAGCAACCGCTCCAGCGAGCTGGGCCACCAGGAACCGTGACAAGGGCCTTTGGGCCAAATCCACGCCACCCCTGTGGAAACCAAGCACAGGCTCCAGGTGCCCCTTCTATGTGCACACACAACACGCACAAACATGCATGTGCACACCCACAGCCGCATGACATGCCACTCCAGCTTTCATGGCTGTTCCTCATAGCTCCCCAGTTTCCTTTCAAGGAACCCCCTCCCCCATGCAAACTGCGCCCCCTGGGGAGCTTTAAAAAGCCTGGGCCTCCCCAGGGGTCAGACTTCCTGCAAGTGGGTATCAGACTTTCCCGAGACCCCCAGGAGACTCTAATGTGCACCCCAAGACTGAGAGGCCCCCACTAAGTAGGACTGCAGTGGACAGCCTGGCTCGCGGCAAACGTCAAGCATGTGGCCCTAACTGGGCTCCGCCAGCTGGACTGGGAAGCTGTGCTCATCCCCACAAGCCCCCGTGTCCCCAGCCCTGGGTCCCTGCTCACGTCATCTGGGTCCCTGGTGTCCCGCGGGTCCTGTGGGCTGAAGCTTCCCATTAACCCAGTGCAAGCGCCTGGCGCCACTCAGTTGCAGGGGACGGTCTATCCATCCAAAGCCCTCACTGTGTAGGGCTCCAGGCCCAGCCATGCAGGGGGTGCCCTCCCCCCAAGGCCTCCCTACCCGGGGCCCCTCTCTCAATTCCCCGGGCTGTAACCCACAGCTCTGCCCAGGAAGCCCCTGTGTGACCCCAGGCCCGGCTGTCTCCCTGGACCCCCGACTACTTGGTCTTCCCGCCGGTAACAAGCACCCACTTCTGCGGGGCTCAGTGGGGCCTTTCAACCCCTTAGAGTCTGCCACCCCTCCATCTTTCCTCCACAGCAAGAGACAGCAGTGGACAGTCACACACGTTACGTGTCTTGTCCACGGAGCCCTACACCTGTGCGGGCAG